CTAAAAACAGTAACCAGTCTCCACAAATGGCACTGGAAGAAGAGTATCAGTCCCCACTCTGAAGACTTGTTGTGACTAGTGTGTAAAGTGAACATGTAGAAATCTACCAAATCCCATCTACATTCTAAGCCCCAACCCTTTGGAGGGTACCTAAGGGGTTTGGCTCAAGAATTAAGAGTCAAAAACTCCATTGTTGCTTAGTAAGGTGGTCCACCGGGAAAAGGAAATTACCAAATGAAATTGAGGCACCAGGTATTGTCTATTAATGCTGACAGATATTGCCAATCTTTCCTACCATCTTCTTTGATTCTGAATAGAAGGAATTTAATCTTCCTTCTATGTCCCTGTCTTCTAAAACTCCATGTCCCTGCCTTCTTTGTAGATACTGCCCCAGGTGTGTTTTAGTATCAGTTAACACAATACACTCCTGCTTCATTTGGAACATGAAAGGATTTCTGCACGAACAGAGAGGTGAGGGGGCACCAGCAGAGGTGAGTGTTTGCAGTAGGTGGACTCCATGTTGCATGTATTATTGGGATCCAGTGTGGAGGATTTTGGGTTGATGCTAAAAGCATCAACCTTCCTGATTTCTAGATTGTAGGTACTGATGTAACCTCAAAACTACATGTTAAATGGAAGTCTCTGGATGTTGCACCTCCAGCCTTTTCAACAATTTTGTAAGCACTTAATTTTCTGTGTTAAATCCATTCTTTGTAACATTTAGAATAGCTGGATACTCATGAACCCAGTTTCTTTTCTATTGCACACCCACTAGATGAAATGGTTGCTAGGGTGCTTGCAGCTAGCTAGAGCCCTATGTTAATGGGTTGTGACCAGAATATTGGACACCATATTCAAACCAGAGGTAAGCCAATCTCCCACATAAAATCCTTCAGATTCTTTTCCCTTCCAGCTGCATCATGAACACAGTGACATTTTAAGCTATGAGTAGACATTGTGCAGATACAAGATAGAACAAGTCTGGGGCCCTGACTCACAGCTTGGAAGAATAGCATCTTAAAAGAATTTTCTCCCATCATAGTGACATCAGACAAAATGACAACTGAATATGAGGGGGAGAAGAAAGGTATTGGGAATGAGTAAGATGTTTAAAGAAACAACAAGGACACTGTTGTTAAAGAAGTAGACCCTGGTCAGTAGAGGGAGAAAAATATCTTACTCTTGGACTAAGCCACTCAGAGAATCAGCTTTACCTAACAGAGCACTTAGAAGTACCACCGTTAAAAGAAATTGTATCTGTTCTTACACTGAACCATAATTGAAACAGCCACCAAAGCAGAAGTCAGAATAAGTTACCATGCAGTTGATGTTAAAAGCATTACTGGGGCAGAGACTATAGTATATCCAAAGTCTTGGGTCTGATCCTATTACTACAAAAAAATTTATTACCAGAAAAAAAAAAAGTTGGCAGAATCTAACTTTAAAAAGGAGATATTTAGTATCTATATGAGGCAGTGGATATGTTAGCTCAGTTGTGTCAGTCATTTCCCAATGTATATGTAATAAAAGGTTTTTTTTCATTTTATTTGTGCATTAATTTAACTAAGAGGCTTCAGTTCCTTTGGGACCTTCCTATAAATATCGTTTGTTTGTTTGTATCTGTGAAATACTCCATCTCAACCTCAGTGTCCAATCTCAGGTCATTATGAAAAGCTTTCCCCCCCCAATAATTTTATTGATAAACAAATAGCAATGAGACAGTTTCAAATCAAATTGGTAGGACAGTTTCAATAATTCACACATTGCATACATATAAAAGTTTTATATCTTGAATGTATAAAATTTTATCTGTTCTTTAAAAATATGAAGAAAAAACACAGGATATTTGAGATACTTTGCATCATAATAAATTCCCTGGACAGAAGTAAAGGAGTAAAATTCTTTGCATGGCAGATATACTGTGATCAACTGCCATCCCATCCTCATTCTCCGCCTTCTTCCACATCCAATGCACCCCAGCCGAGGCATGTGGAAGACCTCTCACAGCCACCATAGATCTCATTGTATTAATCCTTGGAGAAGACTGATATCTAGGAAACTATTCTCATTATGGAACTTGGCTCCAGACTGCCCATGGGTGACACTCAAGAAGAAAACTCTCCTTGGGATGGAATGAAGGCCATCTTTCTCCACCATGGATGTGGATTCCAGAACTGCTCCCCCTGAATGAATTCCAGGAACCGATGCAAATCTCAGACAAGTGGGTGCAGCCCAAGCAGTAGATGTGGTGTCTGACAACTGAACTGACAACTCAGTAGCATCTCTCATCCATTAGCCAGGCCAGCTGGTGTGCTCCACTGACTGGGATCATGCCTTAAAAATGTGCTTGCTTTTATTTCCTGACGTGTCATAATTCATTCTTTTGTTATTCCAGAACATTCTGAAGCACAGGAGGCTAATTGTGCTTCATGAAATGACATCTGTTTGAGATGAGCAAAGGCTCAGCCCAGAACTTCCCTATATCATCTTTTTTTTTAAAAAAAAATATTTATTTGTGTGTGTGTGTGGCCAGCTCAGCCCACCAGGGGGCGGGGCTGGCTGGCATGTGGTGCTGGGGGATTGAACCACGGTCCCTGTGCTTTGCTAAGCTTGTTCTAAGTAGGTGCTTTAGACCACTGAGCCATCTCACCAACCCGCCTATATCATCTTGAAAGGTAGCACAGAGTCACTCCTCATCCTTCCTTTCCTAGGCTCCCATTTTCAGCAGCTCACAAACCAAAGAGGGCAAAACATACTATCAAGACTAGTGACATAGACAAATCCCAAGAAAGAAATGTGTTTTAGTAAAAGAGGAGTACCAAATAAGTAGCCATTCTTCTTTTGAGGACTGATAACTCGTGTTGACTACAGCAAAGCAAGTAGGACAACATATGCATCTAATTTAGTTTTATCCCCAGAGAAGGATAGAAGGCCAAAAAGCAAAGGGCAACAGACTCTTCTGTTCATGTTGGCCTGTCTTCTGGCATCAAAGTATAGAAAGCCTCAGCTCTGAGGATCAATCCTGAAGATAAACAAACAAAGACAGGATGTTCCATTGGAACTCTTCCAGGCCAAAATATACCTGCTCTAAAGAGTCACTAGTGGCAACAACTATTACAGAGACAAGATATAAACCCTGATTCCAGTTACTTTTATATCTTATCAATTCAGTGACCACTTTGAACCAGAAATTTCAAGTGAAATTGATTGTTCTTCTTTAAGGGCAGCATATGCCAATGACTTTACTCAACAATTTATGTACTTAATGTTGTTTAATTCATACCACAGGATTATGAAGTGCGTGGTTTTGTTCCATCTTATATATGAAAAACATTGAATATGTAGGGCCGCTGCTAAAAGTCATACCATTTGAAAGCAGTGAAAGGAGGCAAACCTCTTTGTTCACAACCACTCTATGAACCAGTGATTGGTATCACACTCGCTTGAGTAGAGAGAGAACAAACAGGAATGGCTTGTAACAAGAAACCATTTATACTTTGAAGCTCTGCCAGGTAAGTTTGGGGCCACTTGGGAACATTGTAGAGGTAGTAGTTTACCACAACTCTCAACAAGAAAAATGGTAAAAAAGTACAAGGAGTTCCAAGATTCCCCAGAAGTGCCTAGTTACTTTCTGGGGTGATTTTAACCCTCTAGTTCTCTTCAAAAGGAAAACTGAATAAGTCAGATGCAACAGGCTACACTCAAAGCCTGTGACACTATGATAAAAGTAAATCTTCTAGGTAGGGAGAAAATACACATCAGTGCTCAAAAAATGCTGGAGGGTGGGGTAGGAATTAACTACAATATAGTTTAAGAGAATGTATGATGAAATTATATTATTTTCTAATTGTGGTAGAGATTTATGACTATACATTTTTCAAAACTCATTGAATTTTAGACTAAAAATTGGCAAGTTTTACTATATGTGATTTACACATCAATAATTTTTTGAAATATATACATTATTTCAAACAACTACTAGCTTGTAAATCTGGAGTTAAATTTTCCACTGGATAACTGCATTGAAGAAAAACCAAGAGCCTGAGTCCTTCATTCACTCAGCCTTCCTGGGGGAAGATTTTGTATAAGCAGCAGCCACTGCAGGCTGATACTACAACCATTGGGAAGAAGGCTCTGAAGTGAGTTTTCAGGCAAAGGATTCTGTGGCAGTTCAAATAAGAAGCTGATTGCTAGGGTTTCCTTGGTTTCCTGTCTCCTTTCCCAACTCTTCAGAAACCATGCTGTGTACTTTGTAAAGCACTCATCTGGAAAACTGGCTTACATCAGATGAAATATAACATCTCTGTCTTTAACCTATATCTCACATGGTGTATCTTTATCTTCATATCTTGCTGTATTTTGAAGACCATACTTGTCTCTACATTTACCCCAGAAAATATATAAGAAAAATCTTTCTAAAAATACTAAATGCCAAGGCTTCCAGCTGCCTCAAAAAGCTAGGCATGGCTTTAAAATAAGATTTCAGTGCAATACTACACCACCTTAGTCTATTTGTCCTTCATGCTCTAAGTCAACTGTCCCCCTACACATTGTCTTCGGTAAAGGTATTTGCTTTTTCATACAGCCAATTATTCCCTCTGCATTCTATCCAAGACCTGCTTGACTGAGATCTGGACTGAGATCTGGATCCATGTTATTTAGTAGCTCAAATGAAAAAAGAACACAGGGCACCCAAATATAGTCTAGTATTGATAATAATCAGATCAATTATGGAAATTAATAAGTATTAAGCTCATATCCCAAAAGATGATAAGGCATTACAGTATAATAAAGCTGACAGAGAGAATGGATTTGAAAGATAAATGAGAACTAAAAGGCCAGCCCACCTTGTATTTCTTTTTAAAGTTAGGGATTATGTTGCTAAGTAAGTTTGGGAGGTAGACATTCTCTACACTTTACAGCAAGATGTATACCACACTGTTAAGACCTTATTGGATTGTTTTTATAACATAAAATATAAATAAAATAAAAGACAGTAGTTTCTTTAAAGACTATTTTAATCATTTTCATAAAAAAGAGTACAACATTGAAATAGCCAATCCTAAGACTAGGATTTAAACATCATATAAAACAGCTAAAATCAAAAGATAAAGGCACCCAAAAGCACATAACCACCTAAACCTGTGCGAGATTTTTCAATCAAAACATTGATGTATTAGATATTTTGCATAGATTTTTTTTACATCTCTTCTTTGAAAGAAATTAAATTTTCCTTTTCTTATAACTTCCAGGCTCAAGCAAAAACAAAACGATGAAACAATTAATACAATTCTCACATATGTCCTAAGCATTTATTCTATGACCATAAATGCTACCATTTTACCATTTTATCATTATCGTCTGATTTTATTATGATCTACGGCTATCTAAAGAAAAGTTAATGATGAGATAAAAGAAAATTAATTTGTTATCTTATGACTAGCTCATGGGAAACCAAATTAATGTTTATTGTGTTTCTTGTTGTTTACCAAAAAATGACAGCAATAAGGAGAGGTTGGGAGCATTATTTGGTAAGTCTGATTCTAGTTTTGCGATATGCCTTTCAAATTAAATTATGAAGTAAAGGGTTCTATTGACTCTTAAAATGGTAGAAAAGGAGAGAAGTAAAATTAACTCATCTGAAGAGCCTTCCAAGATCAATAGGCAATAAAAAATTTAATGCATAAAGGTTCTCTCTCCAGAAAACTCAGAACATTTTACAGATATAATATAGAAGATCAAGTTTACTTATCTGGTATTTACAAATCTTTACTTAAGAGCTAGTGAGTAAACAAAGTTGAAGATTTGGTCACTTGAGCACCTTCTGATATTAATCTGCCTAATTAAGCCCCAAGTTCTTTTTAGGCATGGAAGAAGTAGTAGGGCCTATAATGAACAAGAAATGCTCATTGAGCCAATTTTCATGTACAAAGAACCAACAGACTCTATACTGCATTTCCTAATTTAAGTTTCTTAATTTTTACATGACTCCTTACTATAGGCTCTTTGGACTGATTGTGCCCATTGACCTCTACCAATCCCATCCTGCAAGAATCATATTTGCATCCCACAAGGCAGAAGATTCCCAAGAGAACTTATCAAATCATGACAAATATCTTATCTAGTGATATATGATTCTGAACCTAAATATCACTATTAAAGAAAAATACTTCTGGATTCTCCTGTATATATCTAAGTAAGAAGAAAAGACTGTTTACAACAAACACTTTGTTTCTCTCTCTAACAGCAAGACACTTTACTTGGATTCCTTTTGGAAGAAAAGATCATAATTCAAAAGGTAACCATCATTATACACATAAAGTTTTTGGTCAAAGGGATGGTAATTAATGCTCTGCACTCTTTCCTGCATCTTAGGCATCAAAATAGCCAGATTACCTTCTTTCCTTGTGTTTGTGTCATAGTAGTAAAAAATCTCTTCTGATCTGGTATTCAAAGTACGGGTGGCATACAGAACCCCACATACCATGAAGGTGCTAGACACAGATGGCTTGTACTGCTTGGTAACCCAAGTGTTCAGCACCACAAGGGAGGTGTCATTGAGTAGACTAATCACTATGTTACCAGTACTGGCTTCTGTTGCATAGACCACCCACAGTCCATGTTCATCCACAGCAAAGTCCATATCTTGCCAAGCTACATTAGCATATGAAAAGCGGTTGTTATAGGCAGCATCAGGGAGCTGTCGAGTCACAGCCACAGTGTTGGTGGACAAGTTAACTCTAGCAATGTTCCTACTGTTGTACCAATTGACATACATGTTGTTGTTGTAAACTGTCGTACCACTACCTTGGCCATACCTAATCAGAGATTCTCGCACTTGTGTGTACAACAGCAAGTTATCCAATGTGTTATAGAGTCTGTAATATTGAAGTGTCTGCCCACTCGTCTCCAAGGGCGCTACCCAATACAGTGTCTTGTTTGGCTGTTCAGGAGAATAATCCCTACCCCAGGCACCGTATTTATAGGAAAACCCTCTCCAGTTGAGTTGAACCACAGAGGGTCTGCTGATGTTCACCACACCTCCATGATTACAGCTTCCTATATAGAAAAGAAAATTTAAAAGGACATTCTTAGGAAAAAAAATGACAGGGATACAAGCAATTTGCTATCACAAATGCAAAGCATCCATCAAAACTTTTCCTGCCAAAGTTCAATGACAACAACTCATATGTAGAAAAACACAAACCCCTTTCAGTTTTAACCTCATTGTGAACCCACTGTTACACCAATACACATGGGCTTCCGGTTTGAGAAGCAGGAATAATAAGAGAGCCATATTTAAAAGCATAGAGAGCCCAGAAAGCAAATAATTGGGGAAACTGATAACATTAATAGAATTTCTTCTAAAAAAAGTATTTTTTGCAAATATTATCTTACATCATTTTTTATACAGAGCAATCAAGAAAAATAAGATCACCCCAGAATCTTATGCTGTTTTAAGAAGTCAGAAGTTAGGGGCTGGGGAGATGACTCAGTAGTATAAGAGCTTCCCTGGCAAGCGCAAGGGCCTGAGTTCAATCCCTGGTTCCTCAAAAAAAAAAAAAAAAAGGCAGAAGTTGCTATTTGCCACAGTCAGCCCCAGGAATCCCTGTGAAGAAGGAGAACATGCTTCTGGTTTGGTCTCCTTGCCCTTCTTCCCCTGTCTTCCCTGGGTGCCCAAGTGCATATCTACACAAGACATTGATCCTGCTCCAAGTTAATCTTAGAAGATGAAGTTTTAAATATGGGGTTTTATATATCTGGGAAGATGATCTGAAGATGGTGAAATTTTGGATTTGAGGAGATAGGAAATAATTTCAAGGCAGCAATGACCCTTCTGTGCCTAGTACATAGCCCATGCTATATATCACTGGGTGACCATTTTGTTGTGAGTTATGAGTTGAGTCCTGCCACTCATAACCCACATGTTATTGTGCCATGGAACAACGGGCATGCCCCTCCTTCCCATTCTGATATGGTCATCGTGACAATGTGTACAACCAAGTGGGAGCAGATGCACTGGTCCATTTAATGTACATTCCCTGGAACACTTGGGAAAATGACTTGGCTGGGCAACTGGCCCTGCACATTGCAGTCCCTCTGAAATGCCTGCCAAGTCAAACCATTTATGAGCTATAGAAAATGAAATAAAATTCCTCCAGTATTTTTCTGAACACTAAGAAAAGAGTTGGATACATATTTTTCTGGGATCTTAAACAAATTCTATTTTCTTTTAAAACCTGGCACTATGCTTTATCGATAACAAAATCCAACTTCAAGTACATGAAAGGTCATTTTCCCTCATCCTGCTACCCAGAGCAGAAAAGGGGAAAGAAGGAAGGAAGGAAGGAAGGGAGGGAGGGAGGGAGGGAGGGAGGGAAGGAAGGAAATTTGAATAACTGGATGTGACCTTAAATGCTTGTAGGGAACCAGAGAACTATGGCAGACACTTCAGTGAGCTGGAGCCCAAAACAAAACTGCCTAAGATTAGAACTGTGGGGATACAGAGAGATAAGTTCTTGTCTCTGAATCTCTGCCTTTGGCCAATATGGAAAGGACAATTCCTTTCCTTCTTACAAGTTTTCACCTCTGTCTTCCTCAGTCAAGAACTTCTCAGAGGTGAAACCATTACTAGAATATTGCTTTTATTTTCCCAGTCTTCTGGGACTGTTTGTTCTCAGAATTAAATACATGTCCCTTAAATGCTCTCATATATCCACAGTTGGTGCAAATCCAGCTAACCATATAACAGGTAGAAAAATGAAACTACTCTGTGCCCAACCTCAAATAATTTTGCATATCATTAAACAGAACACAGTTGCAGGTTTACTTTAATAATGCATGCATCATTTCATAAATAAAAAAGCAACGGGTGTTCAGCCAAGAGACTGCTCTCCACTAAAGAAATAATGAATAAAATTATAAATTATTATTTCTCCTCCTAAAAGTGATCTCTCAGATGAATGCTTGTTTGCTTTGTTTATGAAATAATGTATGAATTATTAAAATAAAGTTAGTGGTGTGTTCAGTGTAATGAGAACAAAAACTGTCCCAGTTTCCATATGCTCAAACTAGATCTTTTACTTAAAATCACTTCCTGAGAGTTTAGTTATTCAGCTACATTTCACTGTGAGGTAATGAAAGCAAGTCAATATATTTTCTTCAGGTAAGAAGATTTAAGAATTGTGTGCTTCATTGAGTCTTGACTTTCTAGAAAGAAAATACCACAAACCAATAGTAACAAAGTATTTCAGGAAAATTTATGATGTGTGTAACTTATTGAAGCATTTTGTGGAGGTGAAGATAAACCATGCTGTATCCAGATGTAGAAATCAGAAGGAACCAAAATAAAGTTCCCCCAAATTACTATTATGATTACTACTATTTTACCACTAATTCTATTTTTGGTTCTAAGCCTCAGGTTCCTCATCCTAAAGGAAAAATGATACTCTGAAGACTGTTAGAAGGAAAGAAATGCTGTAGAGTATCACAGTAACTGGCAGAGGTCATCATAATCTTTTCATGTCTCAGGTGAAGGTTTATAGGAGCATGTTGTTCCTTTACTGGGTAGTTGCTTCTATTACCTTGGAGGCTGCTTTGTCCATCCAGGTGACCCCAGTACACACAACGTGGCCATTCACACCATGGACCAAATATGCTTATGGAATAAAAGATCCAAACTCCAACTCACCCTAGTTTATAAACCACCCATGTACACATTGCTATGCATCTGATTTTTTTTTTAAATTTTATTTATTTGTATGTGTGTGTGTGTGTGGCCAGCTCAGCCCACCAGGGGGCGGGGCTGGCTGGCATGTGGTGCTGGGGGATTGAACCACGGTCCCTGTGCTTTGCTAAGCTTGTTCTAAGTAGGTGCTTTAGACCACTGAGCCATCTCCCCAGCCCCTATGCATCTGATTTTTTCAAAGAAGTTACTATTTACTCCACAGAGCATAAGACGAGGTATGCTCCACACAAGTGCAGCTTTGCCTGGAGATCCACTCACTGTGCAATTCACTAGATACTCTCCTGGAATTCTAAAGGTATCCAAGACAGCCACAGCAGTGAGACTTTAAACTAGCACTTTTTGGCTTTTTAAACTATCCCAGAGCTGGGCATGGTAGTACACTCCTGTAATTCCAGCACTTGAAAGGCAAAGGCAGGAGGATCACTGCAAGATGAGGTCCAGTCAGATGACATAGTGAGATTATGACCAGCCTCTTCTCCATAGCAAAACCTTATCTTTAAAAAAAAAAAAGTTTTAGGGCTGGCCAGATAGCTCAGCAGATTAAAGAACCTGCTTAGGCAGAGGTAGCGACTGGGGTTCGATCCCCCGGCATGCCATGCTAGCCCCAGGGCATCGTGAGACAGTGGTTGAGACTGGGCATGGTGGCCTGTGCCTATAATCTCATTGCTTGGGAGGCTGAAAACAAGAGGATCATTAGGAGTCTGATCTATATGGTGAGACCCTGTAGATTGTCCTAAATTTTAAAAAAACAAATTAAAAATGGTAGTTTTAAAAACAAAAACAAAAACTCTAGACCAACAGAGAAGCTTTAATATTGGGTCAATGTACTAAAAATTTATTCTCTTACTGGGCAACTAAGCTTTATTGGAACTAAAAGGAAGGAAAACATGACTTACTTGTGACTAAAATTAGACAAGTAAAATTATCATAATCACAAAAAAATAAGACTAAATTGACTCTGAATTATTAGGTGTCTACTAGCTCACAATCTTCTCTGATGCTGGGAACTCACCAAGCCTTCCTGCTTTTTGTACCCCATCCATCACTAGCCATCTACTGATCACCTAGCATACACCAGCACAACCAAGATGACGAAGCAAAATGGCGACTGATGACAGAGCACTCCCCCAAGAGGTTGCCATGTTCACTCATTTAGATTCACAGGAAAAAGAGAATGGAAGCTAGTTGTTTTAAGGGAAGAAGTTAATAAGAAGGCCAGTTATTTTACACTAGAAAGCTCTATGCAACAAAGCAGAAAAGGATGTTATTTGGAGAAAAAAAAACAAATATAAAGTACATTTTAAACCCAAAATACCCGTATTGATTCTCAGTTCAAGCTGACTACATAATTCATAAACTACAGCTGCAAGGGAGGACCCCAGAAAATGCAGAATTATTTTATAGCTGAGACTTGCACATAGCCCTTTTGTTCTGAAAAACTCTGCAGTGAAAAAAAGCAGACAGGCCAGATTTTAAAGTCTCATAATAGTGAGGAACTTTAATTAAAGTCTCTACAGGCTCACAACTTTGTGGTGCCTGGGGATTTTCCAATTCTGCATTATCAACCAATCCAAACAGAAAGAGAGCAAGTAAAAGAAATTGATTTAAAATCAGGACAAAAGTCAGTTTAATATAAACATCATAAATATAATATGAACAAAGCTGGAAGAGGGCCAAGTGGCTTGGCAGTGACCCAGGTACAGCCAAAGTTGTGGGAGAGTAAGAGGAAATCTGGGTGCAATTTGATTAAATAGCACAGCAGGGCTGACAAGGTTCACAGAAGTCTGAGTGAGGAGCTGAGGGCAAAATTCTGAAAACAATTCTAACAAAAATAATCCAACAGGTTTACTTGTTGTCCTCCTTAGATGCTAAGCACTGTATTTTGTTCCTCATAGTCATCCTTGGATTACTAATGCCTGACACTGTGAGATGTCAGGGAGTCCTCAGATGACAGGGAGTGAAGACCCTTGCATTTCAACTTCAGCCCTGTTACCAGCTACCTGTGCAGCTCAGGATAAACAGCATTCTTACCACTCCAGTTCTCTCCTCTGAGATGTGAACAGGCTAATTTCAATGACTCTGAGTGTCATTTCTTGCTCTAAAATGTCTTCTTTGAAGAGATTTATAGAAAACTGTGCCAGAAAAAACCCCATTCCATGAGGGATGTTTTCTGAGAAAGAGAGAGACACTCGTTTGTTGATTCTCAGAGGTTGTCACATTGCTTGACTTCTGCTTCAGCAAGCCCTTGTGGTCCAAAAGAACCATCTCACTTCTACACATGCTTAGACCACTAATCACCAACCAAATTTAGCCCTAAGTAGGCTTTTTTTAAAATGTGCTTAGTGCAGGGTCTACAGGGTCTCACTACGCAGATCAGACTCTTAGTGATTCTCCTGTTTTCAGCCTCCCAAGTGCTGGGATTACAGGTGCTCACCACAACACCCAATCTCCATCATTGTCTGAACAGGCCCTGGGTGCAGGGCTGGGGCTACCAGGGATTGAACCCCAGCAGCTGTGTTCTGCATAAGCATGGGCTTTAGTCCACTGAGCTATCGGGCCAGCCCCAGCCTTAGTTTGTTTCAGGCCACGGAACATTGTCTTTACCTTAAACATTCTCTCTTGTCAATCTAGGTCAGATTCCCAACTGTAGGCAGGAAAAGTCTCCCCAGAACAACACCAAGAGGCTTATAAGTATGGTCATATCTAATAGATGTCTTAAATAAATCAGCTGCACTGACAAGGAACCAGAAATGCACAGTCCAAAAGAAAACAAGTTCTGAGGATCGGAGAGAATAAGAATAACAAAGGCTATATGATTTGATGAAAACAGACAGTCCTCCTGCAGCTGAGATGCTCACAGCACACAGAGAGAAGTTGGCTGTGATGTGGGGTCTCCAAGGATAGGGAAAGCCAAGAGGCTTCCTTTATTCTATGTGAGGGGATGTGCTTCAGTGTACATGGACCTGGCCCTGCTGCTATTCACAGTGAGGCTTTCACTGCAATTATCATCACTGCTAATATTATCAGGGTCTAGGCACTGATTAAGCACCCTAAGTTCCCCAAGTGCTGCTTTATTAATCCCCATAGCAACCTGGCAATGTAGGTACTGTTATTCTCCTACTATAAAAGTGAAGAAATTAAGGATTTTGTCTTATACCCACGTAGCAAGGGAGCTCAGGTCTTCAGGACTGCAAGCCTGTGCTCTTGAAGCCTTCATGCAGCTTGCTCCTTTCAGGGCATATTTACAGAACTCCCTGTTCCAAGACACCCTTAACTCCAGGAGAACTGGTGAAAGAGTAATCTGCCACACTGCCCCCCACAAACACAGTACTGGACAGATGGTGAGACACACCCAGAAAGATCACAACATGTGGGGCCATGGCTTTGGTCCTCTCTGAATTCCCGGACACAGAATGAAACAGGAGTGTAACATGCATTTAGGGGAAGAATAAAGAGGAGCAAGAAGAGAGGAATGGAGGGAAAGAATGGCAGCAGAATCCAGGCCCACACCCAGCTCATCAGAGAAATGAGCCAATCATCCTTTCCATCATTAGGAAAGCAGATGCCACACAGACATTTCAGGCTTTCCCCAGGGCCCCGGTAGCCCCTCTATCACCATAGAGATGGTTTGCCTGTTAGTGAGTACAAATGGAATATGTGTCATTTGTGGATTTTGTTTTAAATTGACTGCTTATGCTCTTTCTTTGGGAACTCCAAAATATGAAACTAATAAAAGGAAGGGAGAAAATGCCCTCCAAAAAAGACCAAGGGGCCTTGGAGAGAAGAAGGGTTTTAAAATATGGAAGAGTAACTCAATTAAAATGCTATCCTACCTCCAACACTACAGCCCCAAGTCCCTTTCCCAGCCTACTCACTGCTCATAAGAACACGTTGTGCTTACCTGGAGCAGGACGAGGGGGAACAAGAGGAGTGTGCTCATTTTTAGAGGCCTCACATTCCTCTAGCTTTTTCTTCAATGCCAAAATTTCTCGACGAATGACAAGGACGTTGTTTTTATCTAACGTCTCTAGCTTCTGCACCAGGAGAGTCATATTCCTTATCTAAGGAAATAAAAATTCAGAGTGACTTTATATTATTGTGCAATTTCTTTCATAAACATTCCAGGGCTGAATTTGTCATTTAGTGAAACATTGCTGCAGAATACACCAGAGATTTTTCTGAATGGTTTCATTTGGAAGAATACATTTTACGGTTTAGTTTGAATGCCTGTCAGATCTCAGGCAGACATGTGTAACAAGAAGAAAATGGAAAAGATTTTAACAGCTTTAATAATAGAGCACAGAGTCATTCTAGGCATCCACAAATGTCCATTAAAGTTCATTTCTAATAACCTTCCCCTATAAACTCATGTTTACTCATGTTATAATATAATTAAATTTCTAATGAATGGTGAGGGCTAGAGAAAACAAATTCTAAAATATGTAACTTGAATTCTCAATCATATCCCTTGTCATGACTGTGCAAGTAAATTCTCATTGATATAAATTACCTAGCCGTAACGTTAATGTGCTGGTCTTTATCCACAGACCTTAAAAGCTCTCACTGAAACATACTCACAAGAAATTTCTTAAATGAGGTTACCAGTATGTGGAGATGGATTCCAAAAAGCATCAAGATTAGATGTTCATTCAAAAAGACAAATACATATTTGCATTTAGGTATACTGTGGATTTCTAGATCCATTAGCATAAATCCAAAGCAGGGTAAACACCTGATCTAGCATGGCCATGGACAGCTGGCCAGATTCGTGTCACCTTGCTGAAGAACTTAAAAGACTCTCTGGTTCTGGGGCAGGATTCTGACCATTGAATAACAGCAGCTCCTCAGTCCACGTGTTCCCAATGTGCTTACCTTACTATACAAAGAGACATCCACCCGCAGTAGAACATGGCTGTGCCCTATGTCATGAAAGAGCGACAACGAGAATTCATAAAAGAGAAATTCCTATCCAAGTCTAGTATTTGCCCAGGGTTACTAAAAAGTATTTACTATTGATTGCTGTACTGCTAAGTGAGTGAATTCACTCCTTACCTCCACTTCCAGCTGGTCAACAATTTCTGTGCTTCCAACAAAACTCTCCTTCAGGCGTATGATCAGTTTTTCCATCTCCTTCACTTCTATCTTGATCAGCTCAAAGTCCAGTTCAGTGTAAGAAATGCTATTCTTCTCCATGATTTCTACTCGGACAGTTAAGTTTAAGAGTCTCTTTTCATACACACTGATTAAGTGCACATATTCTTTCACCTGAAGGGAATCAGAAAACCTCAAGTCAGTTCACAAAGTAATACTGAAGTGTCTTCCTTCACTATAAAACTCATGAATACTGTCAACTCTTTTGGTAAATAAATTAACCAAAAATATTTAGCCACATTTTAAATATCTATCTTAATCTTGACCTGATTAGACTGACAAACACCTAGGAAATTAGTAAACCACACTTCTAAGTGTTTCTATAAGGGTATTTTCAGAGATATTTGGCACCTGGAACGGAAAACTAAGGAGGGTGCACACCCTGAAAGAGGGTGGCACCATCCAGTAGGCAAGGGGCCTGGAAAGAAGAAAAACAGAAGGAGGAAGGCTGCTAGCACAGTTTCTTGCTGACTGTTCTTTTTCTTCTTCCTGGCTGACTTGAACCTAGCAGATTCTCTCTCCTAGACTTCGCCTCTGTAAACTTTCTGCCCCACCAAAGGCCTAAAGGTTGCCCATGGACTAAAACATCTGCAAACATGAGCCAAAGTCAGTTTCTCCTCTTTTAAGTACTAGTCTTGGTATTTGGTCACAGCAGTTGAAAAGCTGACTACTTTACTATCTAGATGCAAACTAAAAGGAACATACTACTTTAGTGGGGGGGAGGGGCAGCATTGCACTTAGCCAACTAAGAAATATTTTGCTTCAAGATTGTTATATCTGTATTTGTATTTCTTTCAATATTTGAAAAATAGTCGCTCCCAAAACTAAACTGGCTTGACTCAGAGTCTCTTTCTGTCCCTCTTCTTTTCAACATGTGAGGCTATTTCCTCAGCACATTGACATTTTTGGTAGACTTCTTATTGTGTGTACTACAGAATATTCAACTGCTTGCTCTGCCAGTAGCATCCTCCCACCCACCAAATGTGACAACCATTAATCTCTCAGGAGATTGTCAAATGTTCTCTGGGGACCAAATCACTACCTGTTTCTCTTCATTTAAAACCATTGCTCTAAACCTAGGGATTTTGTTGAAAAAATGAGAAATTCTTCAATAGAAATCTGTTTTTGATGATAATGTACACTAAGTTTTAAGTCTCTGCCTCTTACCAAATGGAGAAAAGACTCAACTTACTGCACAGTGTATGAGTGTATACGGGACTGTAAAGTGCATGTTTCATTAAGTACGCTCACACTTATTCCAAGAACTGATTATTGCAATCAGACCTTTAAATTACACATTTGTTGCATATATTTGAATGTCTGATCATTAAGTTAAATACTTCCAAAAATTCCCTTGGTGGTGTGGTATATAATTGGAATCTCCAAATGGATATTTCAATAAACAGTTGGTGGTACTTTCTGTGTCTGATCTCTAGGAGAAATGTCATGGCTTTTTAAAGAAACTGCTCATTAAAAGTTGCCAGTTTTACTTTCTTTTTAAAAGCCTGATTAAAAATGATGCTTCTCTCCAAATTGCTCTAATGTCAAGTAGCTGATCTGCAGCTCCTGGAGGAGCACAGAGCCACATGCTGACCTCTAATCCTTCTGATACCAAAGGCAGCCCTAACTTCTGTCATTTTAGCCCTCCACTTAACCCCAACTGTGCAAATTAGAGTAGATTCACAGGTCACAGACCTAGAGGGTTAGGGCTTCAGGCAAAGAGGATTTTAATGAAAGTTGAAAATGCAGCCTTTGGCACTGCTAGTGTAGCTCCTCAGGCAACTACTGATGCTCACTGCCATCAGATGTGCTATTATTTGGATGCTGTAAAGATTGGTGACATTTTGGTGTGTGGGGGGGAATGTGTAACAAAGCATGCTGCCCTCAATAATATACACAGAGATAAGAAGGCCTACCCAGGTTTTGATTTTTACAAAATGGTCTTAAATCTTTGCCTATTAATAACACCAACAACAACAGAGTACCATATCAGAAATGGAAGGTTGATAAATGAATGCACTTGTTGGCATTTGGCCTTAGCAGCTCTTGAAACAAAAGAAAGGCCCTCAGCTTTCCTGAAACATTTTGGTGGCACATTGTAACTGTTGTTCTGCAAAAATGAGTGATTCAACTGTCAACTCTGCTGAATAAAATGTGACTCTCCTTGATTTCCCCCCCCCC